ATGTCGTTTGAACTGCAGTGCGACAAGCAGCGCACGACACCGCGTAAATCCTGCTTGCAGACGGCTTCCATCAGCAACTGCGTGACGGGAACCGATGCAGGAGATGTCGGAGCAAGGAACTCTTTGGCCTCATACTTGGAACGGATAAAGCTCTCTTTTTCCTCCCTAAAATTCGACATTCGTCAATCGCACATTTTTCAGCTCAAAACAACGGAAAAAGACGCTGAAAAGGATATCGAACGCAACAGTACAATGTCGGTTTGTAACCATATATCGACTAAAAGAAAATGCTGTTGATTCAAATATACCAAACCCTTCTACAGAAAGGAGTCATGAATTTAATACTTCGAAATTCTGTACATCTAGTATTTTCCACAGCAGTAAAAATGAAACGATTTTAGCAGTAATACAACGTTGTCTGACTTAAAGTCTGTGCAAGCAATTATTCTAAGATCGTGAGTAATGGTTACTGATTAAAAAAGAGATAACGCTCACATCCGGCAGAAACGAAGTTCGTCTGAACGGGTGTCGAGTCGATGAGGTTGAACAAATTTTCAAAAGCTACCTGAAAGGCGACGGAGAGCAAGATGCAAGAGCATTCCTGGCGTTATCACAAGGTGGAGTCAGGACCTTTGGCCATGGAGCCCGCCTGACTGACGACAGACAGATATTACTGCAAGTTCCTCATGAAGTTGCTGTCCCCGCAACTTGACAGCAATAATTGATTTTAAAAATAAAGCAGGAAGGAAAAGGAAGACTGAGGGCAAAAAGTGTAAATACATCAAGTTTAAAGTTCACTCTCTAAATGGAATCAGAAAGAGCCATTTTCTATAGAAACAAGGTAGCACAGAAAAGCAACGACAAAATAAAAATTGTAAAAAAGCATAGTGGCATGATCATAATCAAGTCAGTTCAATGAGTTGAAGTCATCATAAATTAGACGGAACAAATTAATATTATAATGAATATATCATATATGCTCAAGATAACAGAAAACAACAAATGGAACAAGAAACGAAACAGGTAAATAATAAATAGAACAATAATAATAACTATGGCCAAACCAAATTATGGTAAATACGTCCATCAAAAACCTGGCTCAGTACAGAGAAGACCATTTGCCCACTGCGAATGAAAACTTTTATGAGTCTATCAAAAATGCGGACGGCCTAAAAACTGCCAGGAGGTGTGAATGAAGGTGTGAAGCAACTGTTCTTATATTCAACAGAGATACGTAGGCGACTGCCCATGACATA